TAGAATAAGAGAATATTGAAAGCTTATCAGAGTTTTTCTCTAGTCTAGGGCTGTCAAACTCGCGGCCCGTGGGCCAGATGTGTCACATGCTGGCCCTGCCCCTGCCCAGTTTAGCGAAGGGGAAAAATGTCCTGATACATCATGCCACCATGACAATATGAGTATGACACCCCTGCTCTAGTCCATCTCATATCAAGCAACACCAACAGGTTTTTTTTTTTTTTTTTTTGCACACTTACTTTTTGTCAGGATTAAATAATTTTAGCAATTTGTTCATTCTTTCCCCACTCCTAGTCCTTCACCACTTCAGCACTCTGCTTGTTTACAAGCATTGTAAGCGCCTCCTTAACTCAAAGGCATACTAGGGGATACTATTCTGCAAGACCAGGAAAAGGTAATTCCTTCAAGGATCTAACAGTAGGTAGAGCAAAGATGTTTGAAGTGTTCTTTTGCCCACTTCAACCTCAAATATTGCATGCTTTCTCTTAAGATTAGTGGCTTTTCAGTCTTGTTCTTGAAGAAATTATTCTGTTGTGCCATCCATATTAGTGGCCACCATCCTTGAATGCAAGAGGTACATATTATACAATGTACCTCTTGCATTCATATATCTCTGCCCCTTTATCATCTACCTTTGAGATCTTTCATATAGCTTCATTAGTTCTCTCAGTTTTAACGTTTGAAAGAGAGGGAGAAAATATGTCAGTATGAAGAATGCAGTGTACCTGTCAGCCTACCAACCCCACTGCTCCAAATGTCATTCAATCAAACGGGGTTGGGGAGGGGGAGAAACAAGCTTGTGATAGCAACATTGTTATGCTTCATTCTGAGGAAATGTTGAATTTGTCTCTTTTCTATTACCCTCCTTCCATGAAATTTGATAAGTTTGTCTCCTAATTTTCTGACTATATGTATCAAACTGCACTGTGGATAATTGGCACACAGCTGTAAACTCTTTTCTCTATAATTCTTGTTCAATTGAAGACTGGTCAATTGGTTCTCTTGTGTATTGATTAAAGAGTGTTTCAGTATTTGACTTTCCAAAAAATTCAGTGCAGCCAGGATGACCTCTAGTGGTTAAGAATCACACATACAAGGAACAATAGTAGTAAACACATTTGACTACTTCACATTTAGAGGTACGTAAACAATAAACCAAATCCAATGCCACATTTTAGATTTGAAAAGACTGGATTTCTCTTCTCTTTGGTCTTCCTCTCAGCTATTCCAAAGGCTTGGATATTAGTAAACTGACAAATGGAATCCCATCCACTGAATGCACATTACCCAGTTTTCTGTAGAATGTATGAATTCTCCATAACAACTTTTCTTTGTGTCATATATGTGGGCATGTGAGTATATGCATAATTTTGTATGCATTTATTTTGTCATGTTTATGTAGTATATATTGGAGGTGGTGACCCTTTGAGAGCTGTGTGCAACAAAATTTCATTTTAATGTATGCCAATTAATGTACATTTGAAGTGACAATAAAATTATTCTAAGTCCTTCATACTGTCAGTTAATATTTGTCACAATCTAGCATATGTTACACATTAGCAGAAAACCTTTGTTTTTTTACAGTACTATGACCCTCACAAATCTCATCCTTAAAATATGCTTTTTCATTTTAATATAAGAAAATCACAATTATTGAACATACAGATTTACAGATTAACAGAGTTGGAAGGGACCTTGTAGGTCATCTAGTCCAACCCCCATCCAAGCAGGAGACACTACACCAGGGGTCTTCAAATTGACAGCTTTAAGACTTGTGGACTTCAACTCCCAGAATTCCTCCTCCAATCATGTTAGCTCAGGAATTCTGGGAGTTGAAACCTACAAGTCTTAAACTTGCCAAGTTTGAAGACCCTTGCCCTACACCATTTCTGACAAATGGCAGTCCAATATCTTCTTGAAAGTCTGAAGTGATGAAACTCCCACAACTTCAGAAGGCAAGTTGTTCTATTGGTTGATTGTTCTGTCAGAAAATTTCTCCTTATTTCCAGGTTAAATCTCTCCTTGTTCAGTTTTCATACATTATTCCTTGCCTGGCCTACAGGTGCTTTAGAAAATAGCTTGACCCCTTCCTCTCTGTGGTAGCCCCTCAAATATTGGAACACTCCCCTGGTCCTTCTCTTCACTAGATTAGCCAATTCAAATCAAAATCAAATCAAATGTTTATTGTCAATGCACAACATATGTACAATGAAATTGAAATTGAAAAGCCATGCTCAGTTCCTGTAACCATTCTTCATATATTTTAGTCTCCAGTCCCCTAATCATCTGGTTGCTTTTCTCTTTATTTTTCTACAGGTGAAACTCGAAAACTTAGAATATCGTGCAAAAGTTCATTTATTTCAGTAATGCAACTTAAAAGGTGAAACTAATATATGAGATAGACCCATTACATGCAAAGCAAGATAGTTCAAGCTGTGATTTGTCATAATTGTGATGATTATGGCTTACAGCTTATGAAAACCCCAAATCCACAATCTCAGAAAATTAGAATATTACATGCAATCAATAAAACAAGGATTGTACATCGAACAATATCGGACCTCTGAAAAGTATAAGCATGCATGTACTCAGTACTTGGTTTGGGCCCCTTTTGCAGCAATTACTCCCTCAATGCGGCGGGGCATGGTAGCTATCAGCCTGTGGCACTGCTGAGGTGTTATGGAAGACCAAGATGCTTCAATAGCAGCCTGCAGCTCTTCTGCATTGTTCGGTCTCATGTCTATCATCTTTCTCTTGGCAATGCTCCATAGATTTTCTATGGGATTCAGGTCAGGCGAGTTTGCTGGCCAATCAAGCACAGTAATCCCATGGTCATTGAACCAGGTTTTGGTGCTTTTGGCAGAGTGGGCAGGTGCCAAGTCCTGCTGGAAAATGAAGTCAGCATCCCCATAAAGCTCGTCTGCGGAAGGAAGCATGAAGTGCTCCAAAATCTCCTGGTGGACAGCTGCATTTACCCTGGACTTAATGAAGCACAGTGGACCAACACCAGATGACATGGCTCCCCAAATCAACACAGACTGTGGAAACTTCACACTGGACTTCAAGCATCTTGCAGTGTGTGCCTCTCCATTCTTTCTCTACTCTGGGTCCTTGGTTTCCAAACGAGATGCAAAAGTTGCTCTCATCAGAAAAGAGGACTTTGGACCACTGAGCAACAGACCACTTCTGTTTTTCTTTAGCCCAGGTAAGACGCTTCTGACGTTGCTTGTTGTTCAGGAGTGGCTTGACAAGAGGAATACGACATTTGAAGTCCATGTTCAGGATCCGTCTGTGTGTGGTGGCTCTTGATACACTGACTCCAGCCACAGTCCACTCCTTGTGAAAGTCCCCAACACTTTTGAATGGCCTTTTCCTGACAATCTCTCCAGGCTGCGGTCATCCCTGCTGCTTGTGCACTTTTCTTCTTCCACATTTTTCCCTTCCACAGCACTTTGGGAACATCCAACTTCTTTTGCAATTACCTTTCGAGGCTTTCCCTCCTTATGGAGGGTGTCAATGATGGTTTTCTGCACAACTTTCAGGTTAGCAGTCTTTCCCATGATTGTGATTCCTAGTGAACCAGACTGAGAGACCATTTAAAGGCTCAGAAACCCTTTGCAGGTGTTATGGCTCAATTAGCTGATTAGAGTGGGACACTTTGAGCCTAGAATATTGAGCCTTTTCACAATATTCTAATTTTCTGAGATTGTGGATTTGGGGTTTTCATGAGCTGTAAGCCATAATCATCACAATTATGACAAATCACGGCTTGAACTATCTTGCTTTGCATGTAATGAGTCTATCACATATATTAGTTTCACCTTTTAAGTTGCATTACTGAAATAAATGAACTTTTGCACGATATTCTAAATTTTCGAGTTTCACCTGTAGACTCTCATACTTGCTCTTGGTTCTTAAATTCTAGGGTTAATACATTTCCTTATCAATCTTGCAGCACCTGAGTATTCGCAAGCTTGTATGCAGACAAATTAGAATATAGCTGGCATTATCTTCTCTTTACAAGAACTTTGTTTATATTTTATACTGTTCCTAAACTATGATGTAATATCAAAACCTGGTGGATTCTTGTTTAAAGGAAAAAGCCTGCCCAGGACAAAACTGTACAGACTCAAGTAGTTCTTTTATGTGGGCTTCATGTTTATCTAATGATATGGAAAACAAGTTCCTATTCCATGCAATATAATTTAGAACTTTTTAGTATCCATAACTATTCAGAAATGACAGACACCAGCAAGTTAAGAAATAATCCTTTAATACAAATTATATGTAAAATTTATTCATTTTTAAATCTTCACAATTTCCACAACATTCTTTTCTTTAAAAAATCAACCTTAACTCCCACACTATTACATACATGTTACAACAATGCCATTTTAGGCTAGAAAAATTCATATTGCACATCATAGTGAAAAATTCAGCCTGAAATTATGACTTGGCAAATTACCTGAACAATATTTTAGATTCGGCCTTAACACTAATTTTGTAATAGAATTGTCAACTTATTTTTCATGAACTAAACATGGGTTTTACTAGATAAAACTGAGTTTCAAATATTTCATTTGAAAATTTGAGTTTGCTTTCTATAATCTTTTCAGACAGTTTTAAGGACTTTAGATCAATTTGCCAGGTATCTATCTGAAATCATTACAATACAGGGGTAGAGTAAGAAATCAACTTAAAAAATAGTGTAGTACGTAGCTCTCCAGAAATCGCTGGACTGCAGTTCCCATCACTCTTCACTATTGGACATGCTCCCTAGCAGTGATGGGATTTAAAGTCAACAAATTCAACACATTCCCACTGCTACAGGTAAACTTAATCAATTACTATGTTCATCCTTATCAAACAGAATTATGTTGATTCAATCACTTGTAGCACTTTTCTTGAGGTTCACTTGGTTGTTTTAGAGCTATAAACTTCAAAACTTTGAACTTTAGTAACCTGACTAAAACAAACCTTAAGGTGTGTTTTTTTTTAAAAAAAACCCTACATCTCAAATTATTACTTTACTTTTTAAAAAATAAATAATTCAAATTTGGATACTTAACATTTTAGTAGGCACAAACTTTGAAAAGTGGTGTAGCAAAACAATCTGAACAGAAGAGGTTTAGTCCTCATACACATTAATGCAGTTTCGTTGCAAGAAGTTACATGCCTTGACAACATGATTACAGCAGTAAACTAAATTGCTTTGGCTTGCATTTTCCCCCCTTCATACCAAGTGCTTATTATGGTCCATGAAATCTATTCCTCAAACCAAGGAAGCATTAAGACCTTATTTCCTACACGCTCAACTGCTCGAGTCAAAAGCAGGCAGATAGCAGGGATGGAATTGACTTTGATAAAGCTGAGAAATCTACTAAGCTAATATAAAGAATGAGATGCCTCTAAATTGGCTTGAATTTTCCTACTTTAAAAGGCCATGATTCTAAAGGAACCTAACCTTCTGAGGATGGATACTCCTACCAATGCAGCTATTGTTACAATATTCAGTTGTTTAGGATTAGCAGACCTGCTGATACTAAATAACTAATTAATGGTCTCTTCACTTTTTACCGACTACACTGTCCTAATACACTTTGGACATACCAGCAAAAATGTTTGGCTTCTAAATCAGTACTTAAGTCAAACATTCTAGGGATAGTTTTGGAAGGAGGGAGACAATTTAGATCTAGACTCAGTCACAACGACTGCTTCGTTTTTCACAGAATTTTGTTCTCTGTCGATTCTGATTTGCCTACTTTTTTTTTTTAAAAAAAAGAACAATTGTGAAACAGGAAAATAACTTTTAGGGAGAAACAAAATCTATTTGGCAAACAGAACCCTACCTTGAGATCCCTGAGATTTATTGTTTGCCAAAGAGATTTAGCAAGCCTTAATTATTTGCAATGTTATCTGATTAATTTAAAATGTGATTTATAACACAAAATATATTTTATAAATAATAAGATTGCATTACGTAATAAAAAGAATATTTAAATGTTGTAAAATATTTAAGTTGTGATCTAAGTTAACTTGCTTCTGGATTAGGAATTTAAGCCAAGTTTATCCTTTGATGAGAAATAATAATCATGCTTCAGTCTACTGAGAGATAATCTTCAAGAATGATAAAGCTGTGTTCTATAATTATAGGAAGGTAGATATTTTTTAAACTCTCCTAGCCACTAAGAATAATTTGGGGATGGTGATGGAGAACAGGAGATATTTTACTCCTCAAAAATACATAAAGCCTTTGACCATAGACATTTTGGTTCTTTCAGCCCTTCTTAAAAATGACTCACCAATACAATCACCTTCAGACAAATGAAAACTCTTGTCACAATTATTAAAGTTGAAATTAAACGTTGGAACCTCTTACAGAATTGGTTCCTCTCCATGTCCTCCAAACTAAAAATACTTGTCCAGAGTAAAGGTTACAATCTTATGTAAAATACTCAGTTCAAAATGAGTCTGAAAAATATACAACTCACAAATATTCTTTCTGAAGCTAATTAAGTTTTGGAATACAATTAATCTAAAATTGCTTTAGGAAAGACTGAGCTAAACTCTTCGGTTCTGTTCTGAGTCACAAAGTAACAAGGCACTAGTTCCAATAGCTTGCATATTAGGACTGCATGGAATGTGAATACTTCAATTTTATATTAATTCAGGTTGATTTTTAGGAAAGGCATGAAAGAATAAATACAAAACATAAAAACATAGCAATATTCTTCAAATCAGCAATGCAAGGCCACTCAGTGAACAAAACTGAATGGCTTTTGCTTTTTTTTTTTTTTTTTTGCATTTTTATCTACCAGAAGGCACATTAAAAAAAAAGAAAAGAAAAATACCGGTTTCAGAAACTAGTAAACTCCATACACCCTTAGATGTGCAATTCAAATTAAGAACACTGTTTGCAACATCAACCAATATGATGTTAGTCCTGAACATAATCCTGCAATAGCTTGGCTGGTATGCAAGCTGTGCTTCAATTATGATATATTTAGCAAGATATCTTAGGTAAACCAGAACCTATAGCCATTTTCCTACCTGAGCAATAATTAGTACTATTTATTGCTTGTGAAACCTTTCAACTTGGTGGAAGTCATTGCACATTCCCTTTTGTTCCTCTGACCACCTTTTTTCTAAAAGAAATATATTTTAAGTTGCAAGTTCTTTCCAAATGTTCTCTTTTGGAAGACAAATAAGTGATAGCAAGGCAGCATTTTAGGTGCAAGCCACTAAAGTAACTTTAACTATCAGCAATATGAGCTCTGAAGTTTGATGCATGAGATCTTAAGTTTGTGTTGTGCCATGTTTTACTCCATTTCAGTTACAGTAACTGCAATCTAACATGGAATGCTCTTTTCAATATGAGATCAAACTCTCATTACAATGAGGGACTACTTAAGCACCTGCATTTGCTGTTAGCCTTGTAGTTCAAGAGGATCATAATTTTCAAATAAGATGTTGTCTTGCATCTTCTTAGCATTATTTCACAGCTGTTCAGATCAAACCCACCATCTGATCTATCTGTCTCATATAAATGCTCTTCAAAGGCAGCAGGTATCTTCTCTCGTCTGGTACTCTGTTACACTGTAAATAGATATTTGTTTAAGTTGAAATTGGAGATATTCATATTTTCTAAAGTTCGCTTTGGCAAAAAACCATATTGTCAAAAAAGAATTTCCCTAAAAAAGTCAAGATGCTCAAGTACTGCTTGTCATAAGGCTTTGTGCCCAAAAATTACAAAGATGCAGATATTTTATATTTTGAGGTTAGAAACCTTCATCTTTAGAAATTGAGCAGATAAATAATCCACAATACTGAAAAGTTTACCTCTGAAACAACACAAAATGAATTACACTGACTTTCACAAGGAATAAATGTTATTTAATTGAAATGATCTAGAACAATAATCAATTCAATGTATTGCTTATGAATTATATATCAATATAGAAAGAAAATAGTTAAACACAGCTATACTTGTTGAATACTAACTAATCTGTTCATCTCTAGTTTGTTCAGATATTATTTCTCTCCCCTGAAAAAGTATATGTGTTTCCCATTTTCCTAAAAATATATATTTAAAATTCAACTAGAAAATAGCAGAATGTATTTTTTGTGCCTACATTAAGGCAGACAATTTAGTCAGGGGAAAAGTTGCTTTAGCATTTTGAGCACCGTATTGGGAGCTGAACTCCCAAAAAGTATGAAAGGAAAGAATAATAATTGAAATTAATTAATGAAAATAGAGACAGAGTGCTTTCCTTTCAGTCTTGCAATGAAAAACTGGAGATTTGCAACTACAGTCCTCAGGATACAATGGTGAAGCTTAGACTACCCATGAACATAAATACTGCAGGTATTTCAAGCCAAAATAAGAATATATTTGAACTATGCATGCTTTAAGAATGATTCTAAAGAAGTACTTCACCCTTTATGCAAATACTCCCCTTTTTCACTATTCATTAAAGCAGCCTCTTTTTGCAAATTTCCACAAGTGTGAAGAAGCTCGGGTCACTTTACAAAGAGCAAAAGGCTGCTGTGAATCCAGAATCTTAAATAATCACAAAGCATGCACAATATTGAATTTGTATGCTAAAATAATGGAAAACCTGCTGGGGCTACTATGGAATTTTATAGCTTATTTAACATATCTTGGAGTAGTTGTTTCTATTGCACCAATTTATGCAGGCAGAATATGTAACATTTCCTACAATAACCACCTGGTGAAGTGGGTTAAAATGACTAATTCCAGTCACCAAATCAGCTTCTGGCTGATGTCTAACCACGATACCACTCTGGCTTGAATACCATATATAGTATGCATAAAGATAGAATACTTAGTGATCAAGATAGTGTCTTATTCTATAAAGAATTAAGCTTCAAGTATATCCTTACAATTCCATCAATTTGTGATTTCATTATCCTAACTCTTTCACACTGTATCTGGCACTATCAATGGAAGAGAGAGAATATATTTAGGCCTATTAAACAGTTTGTCAGACAACTGCTGTACCAAACTTCTAGATTCAAACTATGTAAGACACTGGCCTATACTTACATTAGAAACGGAGTTATTTGCTTTTAGTTCATTCGGCTTTATCTTTCCAGGGTTCTTCTGCTCCTCAGGGGAGGTATTTTGCCCTACTGAAACACGAAGGCGCTTATCCAGTGATACTATGTGTCCTTCTGTGGTAAACATGTACTTATTGCCTGATTTGTGCACAGGATTTTCTTCATCAAACAGCTGAAATTTAAGAAATTCAGAATATATAAATGTAATACTCCAAGTGGGGAAATAACATTATTTTTTAATATTTATATCTCACTTCACTCCAGAGACTGCAGGAGATCAAAAACTCATAAATATTTTATGATGCCTTATAATAATATTGTAATAAGTAAGAAATAGCAAAACACAGGAATTAAAAACAAAATGGCTCTTTACCTCCAAATATTATTTCAAAGATTTTTTGGTTGCTTTGTGAGAAGATAGGGCTGCAGATGCAGTACATAATACAGGCGCCAGCGTATTCCTCAGGGAGAAACGACTGAAACTACCCATTTTCAAAGTCACTTCCTGCTCTCAATTTGTCACAACTAGCTGTCTTCTAAGAAAACAACCAGCATGTGTTGTTACTGGGATTCAATTATAGCCTGTTTTGTCCTATCCAGAACTTTGCAGCTTCGAAACAGTAGAGCAGAATAACCTTAGCAACTCTTGTTTAGCTTAAAAGTAGATACAGATATCTTCATAGTCATGTGATCTCACCCCTAAATAAACAGTTTACATTTCCCAGAGATTTTATAAAAACGTTAAGCAACACTTGCATTAGTGCCAAGCACTGTGGTACTCAATATCCAGGGAGCCATGGGATCAATTAGTTCTCATACCAATATCAATTAGAACCACCAATTTTCAAAGGAACTATTGAACACAGCCCCAACACTCAAATTTTTTTACACCTCCAGATGGATACCATGGGCAATGGTGTCAAGGATTACAGAGTAATCTAAAAAATAGATATACGCTATTACTTGATGTATATTATTTATGAGGTATGTTGTAGCATTATTATCACATTATTATCATTAGTGTAGTTCTAAGTCAAGTAAGTAATTCGAGCAGAATCTTGTGAGGTGACCAGGATTCAAGGAACCTGATGAAAAGAACAGACTTCTCCATTGTGAGCTCAGCCACTTACCCTCTGTGGTTTTTTTTTTCCAGACAAAAGGAGTGGTATGATTGCCTGGATTTGTGAGAATGTATCCCCGTAATTGAAGAGTCATCTCTCTATTCAGCCATGTCAACCTTCCCTTTTTAGAAAAGGTTTTAAAGAAAATGGGTAGAGAGTAGGTGCAGGGGTGTTATACAAAACAAATTGTCTGGATCCTCTACAATCAGGATACAGTTCCAGATATGGGATGTACAGGGCATTGGTCAGTTGTAATGTTCCCTGGTTCTTGAATGGAGGGAATATACCTCAAGTAATAGTATATATCACACAGCAAAGTTCCATTAAAGTATTTACGACGGACATTCTTGATTTACCATCTTAATAACAACATACTTAAAATACGTAGAAATATTAAACTTTATTTTACTGTAACAAAAATGTGTTCCTAATTGCAGTTCTAGTAAATAAAGTGTGCTTTAAAGAAAAAGTGCTCCTATGAAGATACATACCAAAAACAAATATTTACATGTTTCACTGAGAAAAAAACTTTCCATCCGATCTTCTTTGGATTTCTCTATAACATGGTGAAGAGTAGCATAACCACATCTGAAAAACAGAATTGAACACTTTTCATCCCCCTTTTAGCTTCAATCATAGGAAAGCTCTAAGGAATTAAGCTGGTTGTTTTATGAAGAGCTTGCAATTTATGTAGCATAGTTTTTCTCCACTTAGCTCTGAAACTATAATTTTACAAAGTCAGACCAGAGATTCAACAAAGAAAAGAAACAGAACTATTGCCTCTTTTGAGAACAGAGATACTGTAACAACTGAAACATTTTTTGTTTTTCTCAGAAATCCAGCTGTATGACACAGTAGCAATACTTTCTAATCAAGTTGGGAAAAAATGAACATAAATCTCACAAAACTTCATATTCTCTGGTGAAACATAGAAGTACATGCAAACAACTCTAATAATTCAACCAGAGTTATTTCCAATGGCCCAAAGTTAGCCACAAAATTACAGCTGGAAAATCTAATCAATGCAACTGATCTATTTTACACATTCAAGTTGCCTCGGGAATGTTGATTATTAGACAAAACAAAATACAAAAAATAAATAAATTTATAATTTAATTGTTAAATGACTTATTTAAAACACAGTTCCAAGCACACCTATTAGTGTTTCTAATAAAACACTTACGCAATTCTACATATTCACTCAATATTAAATTAGTAGGACTTATTTTATGTAAGCACACATGGGATTTCAACTTCAATTGTTAAGTCAACATTAAGAAGGTATATATGTTTGAATTATGTACAGCAACACAGTTCAGTTTAGCAAAGATTTATTAATTTATAATGAAAGCTTACTTTGCTTTAGTATACTTCTCTAGACTCTGAAGAATATCCATTCCTACATGAAGATAAAAAGGGTTCTTTGTGGCCTAATGAAATAAAGGAAATAAATGTAAGAAATTGTGTTATATGATAACAATAACATTAAAAAAGGAAAATGAAGCTTGATTTTGACTGTGCAAGAACAAGCTATATGAACTAATGCAATCAAGGCCAAAACTTAAAATCACCAAATGATTCGAAGTTCAGACTGTTCAACGAAGCTGAAGAAACAGTAGAACATATATTCAGTTCGTGCAAAAAAAAATTGCACAAACTTATTATAAACAATACCATAACACAGCCTCCAAAATGATTCACTGGAACATCTTTGGTAATAATAGAGTGCCAGCCACTTTCAACCCTTTCAGTTTAAGGGCATTCAAAAGGATATTGTGGTCAGTGGTATCAAAAACCACTGAAAAGTCTAACAGGAGAGTTGAATTCACACTGTCCTCGTCCAATTAAAGTTCATTTTCCTTCCCGCGTTGCCTCGGGAAGGAAAAGGAAAAGAACATGGTTTCAGATTCACACCCATGCCTGAATCTCAACTAAAAATAATCCATCTAATCCAGGACTTTCTGCAACCTGCTCGGCAATCTTTCCTAAAAAAGAGAAGATTGGATACTGGTTGATAATTATCCAAACTAGTCGGGCCACACAATTTTTCTTGATGATCTACACTATCTCCTATTTTAGAGCAGGAGAACTACCCTCTTAAGGATATATTTTCCATCAGCCCCTGCTAGCCTCCCATCCTTGTCCTAGCATCTTTCACTAACCAGGAGGGATAAGGGTCTAATCCACAGATCACAGACCTATCAATACAGAAAGGCTTCATGTTGAAATTCCTAAATCTCTATACATTATTTTCATGTGTTGGTCTATTCTGGTATAACAAAGACTTGAATCCTTTTTTTCAGTGGTGGGATTCAAATTTTTTTACTACCGGTTCTGTGGGTGTGGCTTGGTAGGCGTGGCAGGGGAAGGATACTGTAAAATCTCCAGTCAGAGGTGGTATTTGCCGGTTCTCCGAACTACTCAAAACAGGCATGATATTCCCCTCTGAAAAAAAAAAAATCGGGGCCGGCCAAAAGAGACCCCCCACCGCGCGCCAAGAAATCGCTGCCCAGCTCCCTTTTCCTGCCGCTCAGCGGCCTCCGCTTGCACCGCCCACCCACCCGGGCTCCGCTCGCACCGCCCGCCCGGGCTCCGCTCGCACCGCCCGCCCGGGCTCCGCTCGCACCGCCCGCCCGGGCTCCGCTCGCACCGCCCGCCCGCCCGGGCTCCGCTCAGGTATCCGGCTGAGGCTGTCAGGAGTTGCTACCGCCAGCGCGGCTCCGCGAGGCTCCAGTCCCGCGTTGCCTCGGGAAGGAAAAGGCAAAACCAGGAGCCGCTGCTGCCGTTGCAAAGCGCCGCCGCGGCTCTTCCTTTTTGCCTTTCCCTTCCTGAGGCAACGCGGGACTGGAGCCACGCAGAGCCGCGCCGGCGGTAGCAACTCCTGACTCGGGGCCTCCGAGGGGAGGGGAAGGAGGAGAAGAAGGGGGGGAAGGGGGGGGGCAATTCCCAAAAAAATTCGGAATTCCGATTTTAATTGGAAGAATATCATGTCTGTCAAAATTTCTGCTGCCGGTTCTCCAGAACTGGTCAGAACCTGCTGAATACCACCTCTGCTTTAAAAAAAAAACAGCAGCTGAGAACCAATTCTAAAATATGCAAGGTCACACCTCAGCAGTAAAAATAATACACACTTATATATTTAATGAAGGACTTACTGTATTTCAAAATCATGCTTTGAAAAAAAAACTTAAATACCTGATACAGGAGATATGTAGATTCTACTAATTCAGGCCTTAGAGGATAAAAGAGAACATCAGGTGCTTGTAACTGCCAATTATATCTCTCTGGAAGAGCACCATATCGTTTCCATATTGCATAATAAAATGCATGAAGGCAAATGGCATCTTCTACATCACCTATTAAAACCTGAAGCAAAATAACAAAAATGAAACATTCTACATTATATTTAATAGTTGATTTTATAAAGATGGAATGCACCATACTTATTGTGACTCAGAAATTATAACATCCTAATGCAAGAAAGCACCATTGTACCCATTAGACAATCTGAGACAACCATATGTTATTTTCTTTATGTAAATAAACAAAGAAATATCATAATTCATTTGCATTGATGAGGGGTAAAGCATCCCCCAAATTAAAGAATTTGGTGGGAAGAGCCATGACATTCCCTAGGGAGAACTAGGGCTTCGAAGTATTAGTTAAAAAAATGGACTTCTGATTCTCTTCCCCACACAAGCTTGTAGTCTGTTCTAATCAAGTCCCAGCCACTTCCATACCAATTGGGAATTCTTGATGTAGTACCATACATATATTTCAAATTTCCTATTTTCTCTCCACCACAGAAGAAATACCTGAAGTCCAGGAAAAAAAGCTTGAAGAGAATCAATCCAGGTGTTCATCAGCTGGCCGCTAAACATATTAACATTAACGTAAAGAGGTGGGTCTCCTTCACCTTCATTGCAGGCTTCCCTCCTATGAAAAATGATGTACAATATTTCATATCAATATTTGAGGGCAAGCAAGGAACAATTATTTGAATTATTCATAATTTTAATTACCATATATACTCGAGTATAAGTCGACCCGAATATAAGCCGAGGCACCCAATTTTACACAAAAAAACTGGGAAAACTTATTGACTCGAGTATAAGCTGAGGGTGGGAAATGCAGCAGCTACTGGTAAATTTCAAAAATAAAAATAATTAATTTGGGAAACGATCTCACTATCATGAAAGGTTTAATTGATTCACTAACCCAAAAGAAGAAGATGATGATGACAGCGGGAGGCAGGAGTCACTCTCTTCCCCTCCCTCGGAGGCCCCCTGACTCAGGAGTCGCTACCGCCGGCGCGGCCCGTCCCGCGTCGCCTCGGGAAGGGAAAGGCAAAAAGGAAGAGCCGCGGCAGCGCTTTGCAACAGCAGCACCGGAGGCTCAGGCTCAGCGGCTCCTGGTTTTGCCCCACCCTTCCCAAGGCAACGCGGGACCGGAGCCGCACTGGCGGCAGCAACTCCC